TGTGGATCCATTCACCGGCTGATGGGCATTTGGATTGCATCCAGTTTGGGGCAATCGCAAATTGATTGCTAGGAACATGTTTTCATTGCTTCTGGTGAATTCACAGGAGTGGAATGTTGTGTGTCTGGCTCGGTTCGTGGTGCTGAGGATTGGATCACGTGGGGTTTATGCTCTACCACTGAGCTACTATCCCAGCTCCCTAAGTTCTTAAAGAAGCTGCTAAACTCTTTTCCAGGGGGGCTATACCATTTCACATTCCCAGCAGCACTAGATGAGGGCTCCATTTCCCCTCTGTGGTCACCAATACTCGAAAGTTGCATGAATTGTAACCACTTTCACGGGTGAGTGATGGTGTCTTACTGGAGTCTCGATTTGCCCTCCTTTACGTGTGGTGGTGTTGAGTGTCCCATGTGCTCACTTGCGATTCCTGCCTTGTTAAGGAACACTTGCTCAGATCTTCCTGCCCATTTAAAAGTTGTTTTCGCATTGAATTTTGAGAATTCCTTGTGATTTCTCAGACATATGATTTGTTCCCCCACCTTGTAGCTTATCTTTTCATCCAGTTAATCATATCTTTGCAGAATAGGAGCTTCAAAGTCAATCTAATTTATCAATTATTTCTTCAATAGATCATGCTTTTGGTGTATTTAGAAAACTTTTGATTAAGCTGCATGGACTTTCCTTTGTGTTTTCAAGGAGTTAATATTTTTAGGTCTTGCGTTTGGGTCTTGAATCAATTTTGAGTAAACTTTTGTATCAATGTGAGCCATGGGACAGAGTTTTTATTTCTTGTGGAAATTTAGTTGTTTTAATACTATTTGTTGAAAAGACTGTTTCTCCTTGGAAATGCCTGGGTAACTTTGAAAATGTCACTTGTTGTGTATGTGTTGATCTATTTTGGGACCCTGTTTTGAGTTGTTTGTCCATATTTATGTCAATATCAGGCATTTTGATTGCTGAAGCCACACAGTACAGCTTCAGATCAGGAAATAGTAGTTTTTCAATTGTTTGCTTTTTCAGAGTTGTTTTGACTGTAGATTTTGACATTTCTGTGTGTAATTTAGAGACTCATCAATGTACACCCACACAAACAGCCTGTTGGGATTTTGACTAGGATTATGTTGAATCTATAAATCGATTTTGGAAGGATGACATCTTAACAATATTGAGTCTTTGATCCACCCACAATGAGTATCTCTCCATTCACTTAAGTCTCAGTTAATGTCTTTGAGAAGTGTTTTGTGTTTTTAGCGTATAGGGCTCATACTTCATTTTTCAGATGTATCTTTAGGAGTTTAACAACTTTTGTTGAATATAGTTTTTTAAAATTTCAATTTTGGATTGTTGCTAATACACAGAAGAATAATTGATTTTTAAATTTGATATTAGGGGAAGTAAAAAGGAAAAAGAGTGATACATCCATGTACCAACTCCCCAAGATGAATGTATTTATTATGTATTAGAAACATATGCTAATACAAAAATTTAAAAAATATTAATCTTGTATCTTGCAGCTTTATTCATCTTACTCAACCCTAGTAGATCCCTTCTCACTTTCTACATTAATAACCAAAGTTTCAAGGAAGAGAGTTTTATTTTTGTCTTTCCCATCTGGATGTCTTTTTGTTTGTGTGTGTGTTTTTGTTTTCGATTTTTCCAGTTTGGTGTCTAAATCTCAGTACTACTCCTGCATGGAAGTGATAAATTCATGTTTTGTTCGCAATCCGAATGGGAAGGAATTTAGTTCACCATGAAATCTGATACTGACTAGAGGTTTGTGTAGATGTCTTGTGTCAGTCTGAGGAGCCTGGGTCCTTCCTGTCCGTGGTTTGCTGAGTTTCTATCGGGAATGGGCACGACACGGTATTACTTGAAAGTGGAATGCAGTGAGTTCAATAGGCCAGGTTTGTTAACTGCATTTTCCGGGTCTTCCCTAACTGGTATTCTATTTGCTCGTCCTGCCAGTGATGGAGAGAAGAGCTGAAATCTGTTGTTACAGTTATAGATGGATATTTCTCATTGTATTTCTCTCAGCTTTTATTTCACTTTGGGCTTTGTTATTATGCATCTACTCACTTAGTATTATTCTGTCCTCTTTGTGACTTGACTCCTTATCATTACAAGATGGCCATCTTTGTGCCTCGTAGTATTATTTGTGCTGAGAGTTGTTCGCTCTGTCTTTGGCTGTGATGGACTCTTTTCTCACTGTTATTATTTTTTTTTTTTCCCAGTACCGGGGATCAAACTCAGGACCTTGTGCTAAATCCCTGGACCTTTTTCTCATTATTTTAATTTCACTTTTTGTGGTTTTATATTTAAAGTGTGTCCCTCCTACTTTCCTCCCTCCCTCCCTCCCTCTTCTCTGTGGTACTAGGGATTGAAGCCAGGGCCTTTGCATTGAGCCACATCCCTAATCTTTTCTTGATTTACTTTTAAATTTTGAGACGGGGTCTCACTGCGTTGCTAAGTTTCCAAGAGTGGGCTTGAACTCGTGATCTTCCTGCCTCAGCCTCCCAAAGTTCTGGGATTATAGGGGTGCACCAACATACCTGGCTTAAAGTGTATATCTTATAGGCAGTATATGATTCCAATGTGAAAACCTTTGCTTTTGAATTAAGGTAGTTAGAGTATTTAAGGTGGTATGACTATTGAAATGTTTTGTTAAATCTGTCATCTTAATATTTTTTTTCTATTTGACCCATCTTTGTGTTTCATTTTTTGTTTCTTGCTTTCATTGGGATTATTTTCCACGATTCATTTCACCTCTTTCATTGGATTATCACATAAAAGTCTTCTTTGTGTTTAGGTGGCTGCTTAGAGCTCATAGCGGTATCACCTCACCAGTCACAATTGCTAAGTCCATCTGTTCCTCTCCAGTCTATGTGCAATGTTGTCACACATTTTACTTTCAAATGTATTAGAGTCCCTGCAGTACACTATTTTGTTTTTGTATAAATGGTCAGTTACATTTAAAACCCTTTTTTTTTTTTTGGTACCGGGGATCGAACTCGGGTCCTTGCACTCGCAAGGCAGACAGTGGAAACGCTGAGCTAAATCCCCAGCTAAAACACATTTTAAAAGTAAGCAACATTGAACGGGCCGGGGATTTAGCTCAGTGGTTCCGCCGCCTGCCTCGCAAGTTCAAGGACCCGAGTTTGATCCCTGGTACCAAAAAAACAAAAAACAAATAAAAGTAAGCAAAATATTATATACCTAATCCATGTAATAAGTGGTATTTGGTGCTGTTCCTTCCACTGCATAGATCTGAATTCCTATCTGATATCAGATATATTCTTAACCTTAGAAAACTTTTTATTGTGGAAAAATTTGCAAAGGTAGGGAAAACAGTAGAATGAACTCCCATGCATCTATTACTCAGCTTGAATGATTAGAAACAATCATGTTTTATAGATTAAAATAAGTAGATTAAACTATGAAGGTAAGATTCCTGTGCCCAAGCCATACTGCAAAACCACAGAAACAAGATCTTGGAGACCAGGCCAGGAATCTGCATCTCAGTAAACTCCCTGTCCAACTCCGGGAAGAGCTGCCTGCAGAGTTTTTGGTGTGGCGTTTGCGTTAGTGATGCTGGCTCAGCTGTGCGTGTGCGTGGCTGAAAAAGTCCTTTCACTTGCATTTTAAAAACAATATCACGCCGGGGCGCAGCCTCCTGTTGATCAGGGGCCTGGCGGTGGCCTCTGTGCCCAGTTGCTGAGCTGTCTGGGGTGAGAGGCAGTTTTCTGGAATGTTTCTTTATTTACTGTTTGCTCTCTCACGGGCACGTCTCCCTCATTTTGTCGCTTTCATAGTCACAGTGGTGGCACCAGGGACTTCTTCCGTCATTCTGGTTCAGCGCCCTCTGCTCACCTTTTTATTCTTTTATCCTTCCAGATTTCATCCCCCCACCGCCCCCACTGAGCTAAATCTCCCTGGCCCTTCTGGGTTTCATTTTTAAGACGTTTCTTCAAGCTCAGTAATCTTTTCTCACATGTCAGCTACCATGTGACTCTTTCCCGTCACACAATGCAGTTTTGTTTGCAACATACAATGCAGCTTGTTCTTTCTTTCTTTCGGGAATACAGTCATAGTAAACTCTTTAATGTCTTTGTCTTCCAGTTCTAACTCCTGAGTTAATTTTAATTGATTTTCCTCTTTAGTATGGCTTTTAATTTCCTATTTCTTTTTTTTCTGTAATTTCCTATTTCTTCGCATAGTTGGTAATGAATGTTTGATTCGATGTCAGAATTCAGAGTTTTGGGTGCTGGCATTTTTGAATTCCTATACACATTTTTGAGCTCTGACCTGGAAACACAGTTACACTGCTTGAAGCAACTGGGCCCCTTCAGGGCTTGCTTTTCTGGATGAATCAGCTGGGTGCTGAGGGTTCGGTAATTCTCCACTTGCCCTGCTTCCCACCCCAGGCAGGAATCTGAGTCTGCCCCCCCTGGGGGCCTTAGCAGTGCTGACCTCTGACCCGCTGAGTGGCCCCCCCCATCTCTGAGGACCTCCTGGCCCAGTGTGCCCCGCCTGCGTCCTACAGGTCCCTGTGTCCTCTCTGGGAGACAGCTGCTCAGTGCATGAGCCCCACCTTCAGGGACCTACTGTCCACACTCCCTACGCTGCGTCCTGGCTGTGCCAGGGCCCTCCTGAGGCCACCAGGTGGGGCCATCTCCCATGTCTTGTTGACCAAGTCCAGCGTCTTGAAACTTTGGCTTTTTAAGCTTCTGTGCTTTGGTTGGTTTTTATCATTTTTTCAGGAAGGAGCACAAATCTGGACCCTGGGGCTTCATCTTGGCTAGAAGCAGAAGTGTGGAAGCTCCTTTGAAATGTGTTTATTTTGTTCTGAATGCAGCAAGTGAAAGGATGAAGTTTAGGATTGACAATGAGATGCTTCTGTGTATAAATAAAAGAACAGCACCTGGACAGATGATATTTCAAGACATCAAAAACTAAATGTGAGAAAAAAAAAAACAAAAACCCAAATGTGGATCTCTGCTCTGGGTAAATTCCGGGCTCAAACTCTTCCCAGTAGCTGCGCTCTCTGGAAAGAAAGTAGAGAAAACCATGACCTGTTTAGCCGCCTCAGACTTCCTGCTTGTTCACTCTCTCTCTCTCTCTCTCCCCCTTTCTCCTTCTGAAACTGCAATAGCTGGAACTAGCATTAAGGCAACAAAGACACTAGTTAAAGTGTTTATGTTAGTAGTTGAAAGCTTGATTTAAATTCAAGTTTAATTCACCCTTTAAGTCAAATACTTAATACAAAAGGGCAATGCATGCAGGACTTCAAAATGTTCCTGTTTCAAAACCCAAGCCGCAGGCTGGGCATGATAGTGCACGCCTGTAATCCCAGCACTGGGGAGGCTCAGGCAGGAGGATCACTGCCTAGTTCAAGGCCAGCCTGAACTACACAGGGAGACCCCGTCTCACAATAACAAAAAATAAAACCCAAACAAATGAAATCCAAAAAACAAACAAAACCCAAGCTACAGTCCCTGAAAGCTCACTGTTCACAGTTCTGCTTTTACCAAAGAGCGAAAACACTGAAACCAAGCCACGCCCTCAGAAATGTGCTGCTGACCAGAGCTGCAGGGGCAGAGGAGCAGCCTTAGGTCAGGTCTGGGAAAGCGGGGGCTCAGGGGCTGCAGCTCTCCATCCGGGCCCCTGCTCGCTTGCCCTTGGTCTCGATCCTTGGGGGCAGGAGGCCCAGAGCAGATGCCCCATTCTTCCTGCCACTGCTCTGCCTGTGTTCTGGGCTTCCCGCCTGTCTCTGCTGTTCTCTGAGGCCTTTCTCTGGTTCCCACATCTGCCAGGCTGTGTCCAGAAAGAGCAGGTCTCCTCACCTCTCCCCGCCATGACCGGGCCTCAGCTTTGACAGGCCCAACAGACCGCATGCGGGTGACGTGTGCTCTCCACTTCTCCTCAGGGACTCCTGTCTCCTTGTACAAAGTTCTTGGGGGCTTCAGCCCGAGGAGTAGCCCGTAGAAGCCCCAGTCTGGGTACAGACCCTGCACAGAGCCATGAGGGCCTGGCCTCTCCACTGAGGACAGGTTTCGGGTTGTCCAGGCCCTGCCAGGAGACAGGGGCGGAGTGGGACTGCGGACAGAAGGGAGAAGAGGAGCAACCTCCAGGCCAGACACCCGCCCTCTTCTCAGGACGACCCCACCCCAAGTCCAGCGTGCTCACTGCGTGACTTCTGAAGCTGCTCCACGAATCCCTCCCCGCTTTCTGTCATCTTCTCTGGTCCGATCCAGCCCCTGCTCAGTTCTGATTCCACGGCACAGAAGGGGCTCCCAGACCTGCGCTGCCTGTGCTCCTGGACGGAACTTGGTCTCCCCGTGAATGGCTGGGGGATGTTACTATGTTGAGGTCGTGTCCAGTGGGGATAGGATGCAAATCCCAGATGTCATTTGAAATGTTATAGCGCCTGTATTTGAAGATGTGACAAGAAATCGCTTGAACTCACTCTAATCATGTATTGTTAAACCCTGTATATCCAAGACCTTATCATTTCAATGTGGCTTCTGCCATTCTGGGTTTCAGGGTTCACAGAGGCCCACGTGTGAATTCTAGGTTCCCAGAATGGCACTTGCTGTCAGGAGGGGGTGTGACCTTCATGGGTGGGAGGGGGGCCCCTGTTCATTGAGAGAGTGCTCTGGGGGCTGGGGGTCTTCCTGCTCCTGCTTCCTGGCCCTGAGGTGTGCAGATGCCATTGCTGCCTGGAGCCCCAACCAGAGGCCTAAGTGATGGGTTGGCTGACCATTGGACCTCTAGGACTGTGAGCTAAGAAACCTTTTCTCTCATAGCTTCATTGCCTCTGGTATTTCATTATAGTATCTGGACACTGACTAATATGGAATCAATTAAAAAATTAAAGAAATACTTTGCTGTTGTTTTTTTCCCCAGTGTGAGGACTGAGGACCCAGGGCCCCCGTGTTCTACCTCCAAGCCATCCCCAGGCCCCCAGTTTTTTTCATTCCAAGTCCTCAGTCTCTTGGGTCCTTTTACTTCCTGCATACCTTAACTTGGACTGGCCGTATTGCATGCAAGTGCTTCACAGCCGCATGTGGCCCATGGCTACAGACAGCACAGTTCAGTGGCTGGGTATAACTGACAGGAAAGGAATCTGCCACCGCTGACTTAGAGACTGCGCTTTAGGGCATGGTAGTTGTCATAGCTGATGGAGGGCGCCCCCCCAGGTGCATCCTGTAACAGGAAGGAACACAGCTCAGACTAAGGGTATAACTGAGGCCGGCACTCACTACACTACAGGCTCAAGCAAATCAACTGTGTGTCTGCAGCCTGGGGCTGTGCTGCAGTGGGGTAAGGAATGTTTTCCACATCTGTGGACATTGCTGTCTCCTGAGGCAGAGAGACATTGCTCAGAATCACTCAGCCCACGGTGCTAAGTGTCACACAGGAAGGCGCCCAGCCAGTGCCAGCAGATTCTGGGGCTCGGTCTAGGGGTTCAGGAGGAGCTTCCCTGAGGAAGACATTTGGGCTGAGATCTGACATGTACAAGAGTTTAGAGACAAAAAGGAGAAGAAAGAAAAAGTGAAGGTGGCAGGAGACAGGGCATCTCCAGGATATGAGGTGACCTCTGGGGCTACCGGAGGGGCAGGAGGGAGAGAGGCAGGAAGGAGGAAGGGAATGGAGGCAGAGGGTGCCTGATCGGGTTACGGTTTTCACCTTTGTCCCCACAGGGAGACCAGGCAGAAGGCCGCAGCAGTCATGTCCACCAGAGTCCACGGTGGCCACATCATCGTGGTGCCTGTAGGTAGGGAGAGGCAGGCAACTGGAAAAGGTCAGGAAGGTAGGAGGCAGGGCTTTGTCGCGGGGCGAGAGTGGTTTCATCCTCTGAAATGTGTCTGCAGACCTGACTGGGGAGGAAGGACCATGCAGAGTGTCGGGTGCCCAGGCACCAGCGTGGCAGTGTCAGGAAGGGCGGTAGTCAGTCTTCTGTGACTAAAACAAAATATGTGGGGCTGGGTACGTTATAAAGAAAAGAAGTTTCTTTAGCTGGTTTTGGAGGCTGATGGTCCGCACAGCATGGCACTGCTCCCTTGAGGCCCCACTGGCCACATCTCGGGGAGGAGCACAAGTGGGGAGCCTCCCACAGGGATGAAGGGACTCAGAGTGGGGAGGCCAGGCTCTATCCCTTATAACAGCCACCGCAGTTCCTCTGCGGGCAGCATCCGACCCTGATCTGATCGCCTCCTTGTGGCCTCTCCTCTTACACATCCCACCAGCTCCCATGTCACCAGGCTGGGGACCAAACTTCCAACACGTGAACCACGTCCACACCACAGGAAGTGTCTGAGGCTCCCACGAGGGGTCAAGGCTGTGAATGCACTCCGTTCCCCGCCCACCCAGGCCCTGTGACTCCCTGGGGTGCCCTGGACAAAGCCGCCTCTGACCTCTGCTGTAGAACTGCCCCTCCTCGGGGTGCCTTTCCCGAAGCCTCTGTCACAACAGCACCCCCAGCACCAAGATCTCGCCTTTCTGGTGGTTGGAGCAGTGACAATTTGCCATTTCCCATTTATTTGCAGCATTATTGGATTAGTGATTGACTCTGTCACTAGACTGGAAGGGAAGACCCGGTCTCTTTGCTTTTCTTTCTCTCTCTTTTTTTGTTTTTTCCTCCAAACAGTCTTTTTAAAGCAATTTTAAATTCACAGAAAAGTTGAGTAGAAAGTACAGGAATCACCATATTAACCCTCCCCAAACACACAGCTGCCCCATCACACCCCTGCCAGAGTGGTCTGCTTGTTTTGTTATTGTTGTTGTTGTTATTATTTGTTTATTTATTTTTGAGACAAGCTCTCACTCTGTACTCCAGGCTGGCCTCAAACTCAAGGTGATCCTCCTGCCTCAGCCTCCCGAGTGCTGGGGTTACAGGTGTGTGCCACCACACCCGGGGAGCAGTCTACTCATTAGAATTGGTCACAACACTGACACTGACATGTCACTGTCATGCAAGCCCACACCTTCCACTGGGTGCACTTGGCGTGGTGCACACCATGGATTCGCACACATTTAAGGTGGATTATCCCCCTCATGGTGCCACACAGAGTAGCTGCACTACCCTAAATATCCCCATGATCTTCCTGTCCACCCATGTCTCCCCTGGCCTGGCAACCACTGTTCTTCCAAACCTCTCCACAGTTCCCTTTTTCCAGAATGTCATATAGTTGGAATCCTGCATTTCCTTACCGGCTCCTTGTGGTTGGTAAACTGCGTGCAAGTTTCCTCCCAGTTATCTTCTTGGCTTGAAGTAGGTCTTTGCCGTTTTAACCTGGATCTCACTGCCTCACTGCTGAGTGGGGGGTTCTGGTGAATTCCACCCCGTTCGTCCCGGGAGCTGGGTCTCAGGTCAGACTCGGTAGGTGCCCAGCAGGTGCTCGCCGAGCGAGTGACAGGTGCACAGAGTGGCCGCTGGGTAAAGATCAATGCTCTATATAAAGAGCACAGGCAGGACTTAGATGTGAAGGGTTTCCCCTCACTGAAGAAACCACCCAAATGGCCACCGTGCGTCAGAACACAGGCTCGGTCTCAGCAGGAAAATGCGGACACAAACCACAGGGAGATCCGGCCACATGCCCATGGGACAGCCCAGAGGGCCCTCGCTGCCCAGGGCTGCCAGGAAGGCAGAGTGACCAGAAGTCACAGTCTGCCAAGGGAGTACATCAGCTAAGACCAAACCCACTCACATTTCAGGAAGTAACAATTCAGTCTGCATATACAGAGGTTTGTGGTTCTATTTATACAAAAATTCAAACTAATCTATGGGCTGTGCCGCCCTTGAATGGGGGCCAGGCCTACGAGACCGGTATTTCCTGACTTCAGTTTGTGATGACTCATTGGCCGCTCATTTCAGTGTGAGCTTTTCTGTGAGCTTGTAACTCCCTCCTGGTGGACTTACTTAAAAAGAAGAAAAGGCAAGTCAGTTTGGGGTGTCCCGAAAGTAAACACACAAGCTGTCTCCCACCCTGCCGGTGCGGTCTCCGGCCTGTGCGATGCAAAGGAAGAATTACCAAGACAGCTCTGTTCCCAGACAGAAATATGGGAGTTGCCTCTTCATGAAAACAAGTGTTACGCCTTTTTTTTTTGTGGTACCGGGGATTGGACTTGGAACCTTATGCTTACAAGGTAAACAGCAGAACCACTGAGCTAAATCCCCAGGCTGGGAGTTATGCATTTTAAACGCTACTGCTTTAACCTGGAACTTATCATGGTCCCTGAGAAGACACTTAAGGAGCTAAGGGGTGGAGGGCTTGCCTGCCACGTGTGAGGCTCTGGGTTCAACTCCCCGCACTGCAAAATAAAACAGAAAACAAAGAAGAAACTTAACTGATGGTCACGGAATGATTATTTGGGGAAGGATTTAGGATCGTTAATACATCACGACAGAAAATACTTGAGCAAGCACATGGCTATAAATCTCAGAACTCCAGGAGGCTGGAGCAGGAGGACTACACATTTGAGATCTACCCGGGCAACTTAGAAAGACCCTGTCTCAAAGCGGAACGTAAAATAGGACTGGGATCTCACTCAGGAGTGGGGATCTAAGTCCGCACAAAGGCAAGAGGGAGGAAGAGGGACAGGGGGAGAAGAGGAAAAGCCTGGCACCCCAGCTGTTTTCAGTTCTTCTCAATGGAGCTCTGTCATCTACTCACTGAATTACAGATAACAAACCACAAGATGCATCTGCCTGACTGTGTAGGTGGTTTTGGTTTTGCAAATCTGTCAGTGTTTCTAACAGCTGTGGCTGAGCTGTAGCTGATGGCTTAGAGTCCTCAGAGGTAGAGGTGCTGTCTGCAGAGCGGGTTTGCTCTCGTACACCTCCTTTTCTCTCCTGTGTGGAGGCTGCGGAGTGGACGCCGGGTGGCGGAACACGTCACACAGACCCACACAACGCCAGGACGAGTGACCGTCACAGATCCCAAGACGCCAGAGTACAGGCAGGAGACAGCGGTGGCTGCTCCTGCTCTTGCAGTGACCTGGGCAGTCCTGGGTGCCCTCCTCCTGGAAGATGGGGTGAGCCCTTCTGTGCAGGTGGGAGGACGCCAGAGTCCGTGGCAGGCGCTCCGCACAGTTCTCCGTGCTCCTCCATCTGCACGGAGGGGGAATGCTGCAATCCATAATGTTCAATAAACATTTTCTCAGCAGGCAGTGAGCGGGGGCTCTGAGGGGGCTTGTGGCAAGGCGGCTTCACTATGATCGGTGTTTGAGTTAAAAGTCGCTGGGCGCTTTGACCACCCCACCGTCGTGGCCCCTGTGGGGTCGCCTCATATGACCTTTTCCGTGGCGAGGGGTCTGAAACCAGTGCCGCAGTCTGGCCGTGCAGTCACCACATCACCCCTCGGGGGCCTTGTCCTTGCCACATGGCGGATGGGGCAGCGGCTGATAAGCCTGTCAGCCCCGGTGCTCACAGCCTCCCCACAGGGCCAGTTCTCCCGTGGGTGGCGTCTGGCCTCAGCTACAGCCCCTGGGGATGAGGACAGCGAAGTCCATCAGACCCTCCCCCCTGGAAGGCGCGCTGTCTCCCCGCCCTGTCCCCCTGCCCTTTCATTCCGTCTTTGCCTCCACCAGTGTCCCCTCAGTGACAGAAGGAGCTGAATACCAGCCTTCCCCAGCCGACTGTGCCAGCCATGGCCAGATCAGGACCACCGGGCCTGTCTCTCCTCCTGAGGGCGAGGCAGGGCCCGGAGGGGAGAACTGGTGACAGGAGGGTGAGGTGGAGCGAGGCCTGGCCTAGGAGGGGACAGAAGGCATGTCCTGCAGGCCCGGGCCACTCTCTGTGTTTCAATCTTGGGCATCCCTGACCTCCCCTGGGCTCCCCTGTCTCTGCACTGCCTGACGCTTTCTCCCCTCAGGGTGTGGAGCCCCACTGAGAGCCGCCTGATTTCTCTGTCACTGTCATTTCTCACCCCAGCACCCGTCAGCCACACGGGCCGTGGCATTGCTGTTCTGTTCCTGGCTCCTCCAGGTCCCAAACACCTCTTTAGCTGGCAGCTGCCTCTGGAGAGCATAACAGTGTGTGCTCGGTCCTCCCTGCTGCGCCCGGGGTACCATGGGCAGTCACCTGGGGAGCCCAGTGGGCATGCTGGTTCTGTCCCGGCCCAACATCCGGGGGCCACGCTGGTGACCACTCTGCCAGCATCACATGGTGTGGGACAGTGAGCACTCGTGGGCGTGTGTCCCTCCTCCTTTCCTCCTCTTCTTTTCCTCTCTGTATGGCACTGGGGATGGAACCAGGGTCTTTACACTGAGTCACATCCCCAGACGTTTTTATTTTTGTCTTGAGACAGGGTCTTGCTAAGTTTCCCAGGCTGGGCTGGCAGTTGCAGCCCTCCTGCCTCAGCCTCCCAGAGTGCTGGAAATACAGAGTGCTCACCACCATTCCCTGCTTAGGTCTCTCCTCCTTCCTACTAAAGCCACCAGGATTCATCCCGTTTGTCTCATCCCCTCCCCAAGACCTCCAGGGTAAAACATCTAGATTAACATTTTGGGGTGCAGAGCTGAGGCCTCCCACATACCAGGTGAGCGCTGTGCCCCTGAGGACATTCCCAGCTGTCTCCGCCTCTGCAGGCCTGCCTGGGGAGAAATGGCAGCACAGGGAGACAGTCACAGACAGACTAGAGCCCTGCCTAGGCTGCCATGCCCAGCTCCGGGTTGCGGGGTGTGTGTATGTGTGTGGCTGTCCTCAGAGGCAGGTGCAGGCAGGCAGGAGTGACGCTGTCTCCCTGAGAGTGGCCAGACATCACTCGCGTGCACCAGGGGCCAGATTGGAAGGGGCCAGGGAGTGGGGGTGGGGTTACACTCGCTGCTGCTGCCCTCTGGTGGCCTGAGTGCCCCCCAGACAAGGGTCTTTGTGCATGGGCAGCGGGCTTGGGGCCTTGAGCTCTGCAGGCGTGACAGGGAGGGAGAGAACATCAGGCCTGCCCCAGGGCCTCATCCCTGGTGGCCTCCAAGATGACCACTGCTGGACAGGGCTGGGGCCAGGGATGGACCCGGAGCACAGGCTCAGAGCCTCCCAGGGCCGGCGGCCGGGACCTCAGCCCACTTCCTGAGTCCTGCGGGTCCTGGTCTGTCCTGAGGGATGTTTGTGCTCTGCTCTCTTCTTTCTTTCTCTGCCAGCTGTCTCTGGTT